TTGGTAGCCCAGGCTGGCCTCGAACTCACAGAGATCCGCCTGCCTCTGCCTCCCGAGTGCTGGGATTAAAGGCGTGCGCCACCAACGCCCGGCTTTGGAACCTTTCTTAACTCATTCTGTGGCCCAGGCTGGCCTTGAACTCACAGAGATCCGCCTGGCTCTGCCTCCGAGTGCTGGGACTAAAGGCGTACGCCACCAATGCCCAACGCTCTGGCTATCTTTGAACTCACAGAGATCTGTCTGTCTGGGATTAAAGGCGTGTGCCACCACACCTGGCAATAGTTTTTGACTATTTCTGACAGAGTCTCGCTATGTAATCCTGGCTGGCCTTGAACTCAGAGATTAAAAGAGATTAAAGGCATGTACTATAACACAGCCCTAATGACTTTTTAAGATATATTTATTATATATACAGTGCAGTGTTCTGCCTGCAGGCCAGAAGAGGGCACCAGATCTCATATATGGCTGTGAGCCACCATGTGGTTGCTGGGAATTGAACTCAGGTCCTCTGGGAGAGCAGTCAGTGCTTTTAACCTCTGAGCCATCTCTCCAGCCCCTAATGACTTTCTAAAAAGACAATTTCTTGGTACATTTTTTTTTTTTTAATTTTTCGAGACAGGGTTTCTCTGTGTAGCTTTGGAGCCTTTCCCGGATCTCACTCTGTAGCCCAGGCTGGCCTGGAACTCAGAGATCCACCTGACTTTGCCTCCCGAGTGCCTGGATTAAAGGCGTGCGCCACCACCACCGCCGCCCGGCTCTTAGTACATTTTTATTAGAGGGCTCATGCACGGAGTCAGAGGATAGTCCTGGAATGGATTCTCCCCCCGTCTGCCATGTGGATCCCGGGGTGAACTCAGGTCATTAGCTATCTTGTCAGGCCTAAAACAGACGATTTCCATGTGTGCTATAGGGAAGGGGGGTGGAGCAGGAGGGAAGGCAGCGGTTGGCAGCTGTGTCGGTGAAGGAGCCTGCCCCCTCGTTTCCACCCTCCCCAGAGAGACTACTGCTGTGGTGGCCATGCCAAGGGGGAGGGGAGGGGAGCAGCTCACAGAGCACTTCAGACCCTCACCTGGGTTCCAGAGGCCTCTGCTCACTTTCTTCTCTTCTCTCAGTTCCCTGCCTCAAGATTCTCCTCAGCAAAGGCCTTGGGCTGGGCATCGTGGCCGGGTCACTTCTGGGTACGTACAGTTCCTTCCTTCTGTCAGAGTAAAGGTGGAGGTGTTGAGAGGCGGATGCCAAGGGCTGGCGACAGGCTGCTCCTCCTCCTCAGCCGTGCCCTTCTCCCCCAGTAAAGCTGCCGCAGATACTTAAGATCCTGGGAGCCAAGAGTGCGGAGGGCCTGAGTCTCCAGTCGGTGATGCTGGAGCTAGTGGCGCTGACGGGAACTGTGGTCTACAGCATCACCAACAACTTCCCCTTCAGGTGAGGCCCCACTCCTCATCCCCAAGGCCACATGCCCACAATTCTTTTTTATTATAGTTACTTATTTATGGGGGGGGGGGGAGGGAGTCAGAGAACAACTTGTAGGAATTGGTTCTCTCCTTCCAGTGTGTGGATCCTGGGGCTGGAAGGCAGGTGGTCAGGCAAGCTCCTTCACCTGCTGACCTACCTGACCAGCCCTAGTGCCCACAGCTCTAACAAGGGTGAAGAACACTTCAGCCCTTCCAGAAGTTCCGCACACCCAAGTGGTGGTGACGTGAGCACCCTCTGAATGAGCCAGGCCTGATGGATGGCTATGGAGGCTTGCCTGCCTCTTTCCAGGCCCACCTTTTTCCCTCCCAACTCTTGACTCTGCAGCTCTTGGGGTGAAGCACTGTTCCTGACCCTCCAGACAGTCACCATCTGCTTCCTGGTCATGCACTACAGAGGAGAGACCGTGAAAGGTGCCGGGGCTTGGCTGGAGAGCAGGCATTGGACCCTGGGACTCTGGTGGGGCTCGGGAGGCTCAAGAGGGCCCTTGTCTCCCTGACCCCCAGGAGTCGCTTTCCTGGCCTGCTACGCGATGCTCCTGCTGGCGCTGCTCTCGCCACTCACACCTCTGGCTCTAGTCACCCTGCTCCAGGCCTCCAATGTCCCTGCCGTGGTGGCGGGGAAGGTGGGTGCTGGGAAGGGAACGGATGCATGTGTGGGAGGGGCAGGGTGGAGCCTCGAGTATGGAGTGTTAGTCTGCAGGGAGGGAGGGGGTTGGTGGTGGGAACCCAGCGAGTGTTCAGATGCCAGACCAGAAGTACGAACTTCTCCTCCAGTTGCTGCAGGCAGCGACCAACTACCGCAACAGGCACACGGGCCAGCTCTCGGCCATCACCGTGTTCATGCTGTTTGGGGGCGCCTTGGCCCGCATCTTCACTTCGGTTCAGGTGAGTGCACCTTCTGCCCTCTAGAGGGCACTCAAACCTCACTCGAGGCTGAGTCGGAAGCCTCTCCCTCGGGAGCCTTTCTAGGTCTGTGTTGTCTTTCCTAACAGGAAACTGGAGACCCCCTCATGGCTGGCATCTTTGTGGTCTCCTCCCTCTGCAATGGTCTCATTGCTGCCCAGGTCCTCTTCTACTGGAATGCAAAGCCTCCCCACAAACAGAAAAAGGAGCAGTAGTGTGGAGCCAGCATCCGGAATCATTCCATTTCCACCATCCACTCAACTATCTTCCTCCATTCCTCAACTGCACCTCCTGAGCCAGGGTTTGTGTAAACACTGATTTCACCAACTGGCTGAGGTTCCTCCTGTGAGCAGCTGTTTTCTTACCGGAGCAGAAGCTTGTCTTGTCCACTTACCTTCCTTCTGGACGGGGGACAGAGCCTGGACAGATGTGGTTGTGAGCTTGTGGCTGCTTCCCTTTGCCCCCTGGCTGGGACAATCTACTGGACCCCGATTCTGGAGGTGGGGGAGGGGAGAATGACTCAGATAAGGGCCTCAGGGTGGGGTGGGGAGGCTCCTGCTGGGGCAGGTCCAGAGGAAGGGTGTGGAGAGGCAGGGGTTGCTGTAGCGGTGAGGGTACAGATGGGCAATAAAGACTCGGAGACGCACTTTGATTGTACAAAATTGTGTTATTGTGCTTTTGTGCATTCTGGTTCTGTGAGAGACTTGTAGGCCTCTGCAGTGGAAAGGGGTGGGTCTGTGGAGTTGGCCCTGAATGTCTCTGCCAGTTAGAGGTGGGTTACAGACAGGGGGCACCCGCAAGGGAAGTACTGTATGGGGTGGTGGAGCCTGGGGATAGGTAGGTGGGAAAAGAGGGCATCAGCTCCCCCTGGAGCCTCGGATCACTGGGAGGGAGGGAGCACGTCGAGGGGGCCTCCGGTCTACAGTGGGCAGAGCTGTAAGAGAAACATGAGGTTTGGAGGTTACGTTTCTGGGATGAAGAGACTGGGCAGGGTCCCCAACTCTCAGGAGACTGGTCTGACCAGTTCGCAGCCAACAGGGTTAGAATTTGCTCCTCAGCCAGCCATGCTGGGCACAGCAGGCCCGGAACAAGACCCTAAGATGGCTTAAAGAGCAAGGCAGTTCTGTCGGGGCACGCTCGGAGCCGTCTTGCATGCTGCACGCTCTTGGGGCGGCAGGCCAGGAGGGAGCAACAGGATGGGCTTGGCCTCTCCTTGCCCCGGGGGCTGGGAGAGGAAGCCGGGTCACACAAGGGCCATCAGCAAGGGGGAGACTGACTTTGAGAAGGTGGAAGACATTAGGCTGAGAGGGACAGGCCTGTGTCCTGACCGCTAATCCCTCCCACCCAACCTCAGCCTGGCGCGCTTCTGCTAAGATGTTTGGGGTTCTCCCAACTTAGCCCTCCGGCCTCCATCCCTACCCAGCCTTCAGGAAGAGGGTGGTGGTGGGGCACAGTCGGGCACTCACGCGTAACTGCCGGGCAGGTAGGCTGTCGAATAGTTGGGGGGCTGGTACCCAAAGCCTCTGCTCCCTTGGGTAGTTGTGTACCCTGGCCCCCAGTGCGGGCCACCACAGGCCAGGCCTCCTCCTCCCTGGCTGAAGTGGACGGAGCCGGTGCCCGAGTTCTTGCTCTTGCGCCGAGGCCGGTACTTGTAGTCGGGGTAGTCGCGTAGGTGGCGGGCTCGGAGACGCTTGGCCTCCTCCACGAAGGGACGCTTCTCTTCGTCGCCCAGCAGCTTCCACTGCGCTCCCAGGCGCTTCGAGATCTCCGAGTTGTGCAGCTTGGGGTTCTGCTGCGCCATCTGGCGGCGTTGAATAGAGCTCCACACCATGAAGGCGTTCATGGGCCGCTTCACCTTCTCCTGCTGCGGAAGCCCTCCGGACGCTGCGGGGCTCCCGGCACCCTCCTGCTCCTGGGGTCCCAAGGGCAGAGAGGCTGTGGGAACCGGGGGCTCCACGCCCCAAGTCTGGGCTTGTGAGGAGCCGGGCAGCGCCATGGGTTGAGGATAAAGCGTCTTGGAGAGGGCGTCTTGAATGCCCTCCTCCCAGAGTGAAGACTGGCCTCTGAGAATTTGGGTGAAGAATCTTCCGTCCGGAGTCCTTGAATCGAACCTTTGCTCTCGGGGATGGACTCACCACCTCTGGAAAGCTGAACGCAGAGTCCTCCTTGTCTGCGCCCTGCCTGGAGAGGTGCTCTTCTCAATACCGACAGTCCCTCTCCCTACCCTCTGCGGCGGGCAGCGGCGGGCCGGAGTCTTCCTTCGGTGGAGGCTGCAACTCTGGCTCCGGGAGCCTCTTGGGCTCCGAAGTTGCCACAGCTGCCAGGAGCGCACCCAGGTGCCACAGACGTTCCCCACCTGTGCTCAGCCTCTATGAACCGGCTTTGAAAGCCCGACTCCTCCCCCAATCCCTCCCAGAGGCTGGCTTCCTCGGCAAACCCAAGTGTCCTGTTATTTGCCGCCCAGACACCTCCCCTGGGGCACCACGCCCCCTCTCCACCCAAGGTCTGGATGTCAGGCTAATGGCCCCAGTGGCTACAATTGTCTACTCAAGCACCAGCAATTTAAAGCAAATTCCTTCCCAAGCTTGGGCATCAAATGCCCTCAGGGTCAACCAAACTGGAAGACCTTAGGAGATCTCACACCCTACTCAGCGCCTTTTCCGGTGTCTGCTGATCTTCAAACCCTGACCTGCCCCAGAGGTAAGAAACTAAGACGACAGGCCATTTTTGTTTTGAGTCATTCCAACAGGCGCCTGGGTAGGTGAGAACACTCAAGCCACTTCCAGCCCTGAGATTTCCACTGCCATTCGATTATGGCAAGTTTCATCTTTCAACCTAAACCAGGAAGAGGGAGCCAAAGGACTCTGGACCTAGAGGTACACACTTTTAAAAAACGGAATCTTGGGATTTTCAGAAAGCTGATGGGAGGGGCACCAGTGCTACCATGTGCAGTGTGGAGGTCACAGGACAACTTCCAGAAGTCTATTCTCTCCTTCGGGGTCTCAAAGTGAAGAGGAAGTGGCTACCTCAGGGACCCAGCTCAGGTCCTGACTTGGCAGGGAGCACTCTTGGTTGTTGTTTTGTTTTAGAGACAGGGTTTCTCTGTTGTAGCCTTGCTGTCCTGGAACTCTGTAGACCAGGCTAGCCTCAAACTCACTGCCTCTGCCTCCTGAGTGCTGGGTTAAAGGTGCGCACCACCACGGCCCGGCCTCCTGAGCTATCTTTACTGCCCTGGTACATCCTTTTTTTTTTTAAAATGTAGACTAGGCTGGCCTTGAGCTACCTGATACATCCCGTTTGTTTATCAAAACAGGGTTTCTCTGTGTATCAATCCTGGCTGTCCTGGAACTCAAGAGATCCGCCTGCCTCTGCCTCCTAGTGCTGAGACTAAAGGTGTACAACACCATCACCTGACTGATACTTATTTCTTGAGGATTCCACTTTAAGGTCATGGCTTCTTTCTCTGACAAGGCATTCAGGACACCCTCTTTAGGATCATCTTCAACCCATGTCCAACCTGGGTCTGGAGTCTCTCAATCCCAGTCACTACCTCTTCACCCGTAAGACCCCAAAAGCTAAGGTCAGTGATGTGGATTCTGGAGCCAGAGCAAGACCAAGCCAGAAATGCATGCTGACCTTCCTGGGTTCTAGAGGCCATGCTGAAAGAACCCTATTTTCTCCCCTGATGATGGCCCTGCCTGTGCCCCAGGCCCCAGATAATCCGATTAAACAGCCTGCCCAGACTCCAGCTCCTAGCAGGAACAGGTCCAGCTTCAAGCAGCCCTGCCTAGCCTCCTGTGACTCAGGGCTTAGGAGTGGCCCAACTCTATCAAGCAACCAAGTAGCTGGGCATGGAGAATTAATGCAGCAATTTCCAGAATATCATCTTCCTGACACAGAATGAGAAGCTAAGAATACAGAATAGCCAGGAAGCAGTACAGGTCAGTCCTAGAGACCCAAACAGACCACAGACTGGGGACAAATAAGGCATGGGAACCACAAGGCCATTGGATTTTTTTATTCTCTTTTTAAATACTGTACAGTGAAAAATAAATACGCCTTCTCATCCACCAGACAAGGTTATTCCCCCCACTTCCCTGGGGGACCTTGTCACCCCCTTCATACACACCCCTGGTTCTACTCCAGAACCTTCCCCATGCCTCCCACCCACAAATACCCTCACTATCCCCGTCTTCCACAGTGATGAGGCCCCAGAAATGGGGGGTACAGGATGGGAGGAGGGATAGCAGGGGAGCCCCCCTGAACTGTCAAATCTGGGTGGGTCAAGGAGCACCCCCACCAACAGGCGGAGAATGGGGGTGTTCAGAGGTCGGGGCATTAGAGGATAAAGGCACATCCAGTCTGATAGGGAAGGGGAGGCTCCCCTCACCCTGGGGGTTGGGTGGACAAGAGGGAGGGGGTATGACCCTGTTACACACCCCTCCACTAGCTCCTGGAGGTTGGGGGGGACCCAAGCTGCTGTGCCACCCCCCTCCCCCATAGATAAGAGCAGCTCCAGCGCAGGTCAGTTGGACCCATGAGGGCCATGGTGGTGGGCAGCAAGCGAGATGGAGAAAGGAGGGATGTGGACTGGAGGTTTTATGAAACCCCATTCACCAAACTACCCAACTCCAAGGGGGCAGAGAGCTCCCCGTTCTCCGAGGGGCCCTTGGGAAGCTTGCTGACAGAGTCACCCTGAAGAGGAAGCAGGAGGAAAAGGAAAAGAAAGCAGTCCATCAGTACACAAAGTGTAGGCATTCCTTCTCACTGCAGACACATGGAGACCAGGGCTAATTCCCTCATCTCCTTGTGCTCTAGGCACTGTGAGCCTTGCCTTCCATTCGCAACCAGCTCTGCTCTAGCCTGGCTTGACCTGAACTCCACCACATACAGCCTGGCAATTCAACAACTCAGGTATTTCCTACACAAGTTTTCTGTGTCCCTGCCCAAAAATAAAAAAATAAAAAAATAAAAAAAAAAAAGAATGGGGTAAGCTGTATCATGACTGCCAACCTTCTGTCCTGAAAGAGAATCCTCTGAGGGTTTCGTGCATTCCAGAGGTGGCCGCTGGCGGCTCTGAGACTCTGCCCGTGAGATATAGTCTGCCACAGTCACTAGGAAAGGCAGAGAGGGATCAAGACTTTCAGGAACACAGGGATCCATCTCCACGGTTCCCACTGAACCCAACCCTGGTTTCCCTAGAGCACCAAGCATTCCATCCTTAGCTCAGGGAAGGCTCTGATCCCGCAATGTCAGCTGACCTGGTTGGCGGTCTCCGCTGATGGACCCATCAGTTCGATTACCACGATTGCGGCGGCGGCGGCTGCGATTGCGGCGCTGGGGTCTCGATTCCTCTTCTGTGGAGTAAAGAAAAGTCACCCACCCATCCTCTCATTCTTCATTCTTTCTCAAGACACCTAAGAATCCGGGCTCGCCCCTCACCCAGGCCATTCTCTGTCATGTTAGGACCATCAGACTCCAGGCCTCCATCCATGACAGTCCTGTCTTCATCAGTACGACGGCGGCGGGAACGGCGACGTCGGGCACTTGCTGGAGGGGGTTCCCCAGGCTCTGAATCCACTGGGGGCTCTGGTTCAGATGTGTCCAATAGGCTGTAAGGATTACTGTCTGGGTCCTTTAGCACTGAGGAGAGGAAG